ATGGTGAAATTGATTTGATGTTTGTATCAGTTCAAAACCTAAGGACCTGATACTCTTTTTTTTAATTACCTTTGCAGGTACATGATAGTGATGTCCGTTCAACAGACATCGAGGACGATGCCTCTTCAGGCTGGCCGAAGCTGTGGGAATCATCGACGACCGATGCTGAATTAGAAATGTCAGCAATGATATCATCGCAGTATAGCTCAGCGCGAATCATTCCAGACAGTGTCAGATCACTTCCAGACATAGATGTGAGCAGACGGCTCACTTGTCTTCAAGGGTTACAGAAGACAGACGGTTATCTGTTGATTTTTCGCCTTAGCTGTTATGACTTTAGATGATCATACTATTTAAAACTAACTGTGTACTAATGTATCCTATCAACGCCGGAGGAACTCTGTGTGAAAGGACTGTGATTGTGCATCATTATATAATCCTGCATATGTTAAACTTCATCTTTACTTATTTGTCTTTATTACTTTTATTCTTTCTATTAAATAAAGCACATTTAAAATGTTATGATGCTGCCCTCATGCTCTGATTTAAAAGAGAACTCCACATGTATAAGACTTACTCTGGTAACGATTCCATTTGTTGAATGGTCCCTCAGAGGATCATCTCTTTGGTAAGCTTTAAATATAACATTGGATAATTTTCTGTTAAAGCCATACTACATTTTTTTGTTTTACTGGAAGGGATTTCGCAACCTGATATTTGCCAAAAGATTAACAAATGGATATCCTGTTTCTTCAAGAAAGAGAACCACAAAAAAATATTATGCTTTTAATTACTGTCTCGTGAAATAAATATGTTACCCAAATCTGAAATGGTTATGCAGTCTTTTTTCACGATATTAGGAAGAAATATACTAGAAAGAAATGGGTTTAAACTCAGATGGAGTTTGTTGGAATGCTCATTCCTTTTCGTTAGTGCTGTAGGATTCACTTAGTTATGGTATAAGGCAGGGATGGGCAAACTAAAGCCCATTGGCCAATTCCGCCTGACAGAAGTTCTATCTGGCCCACAGATAGAATTTAAATTTGCCGGTGTGAGGCAAATTAAAGGAATATATATTTATATATCCGTCTCCTTTCTACTTTGTTTAAATTTATTTTCTTCCTTTTTCCAAAGGACTCATGATCTTTTTACTTTCTCTATTTTTGTTCTACAAAACTAAATGACGGAAATAGGAAGCACAGGCAGTTTTCATTCGGTAAAGTGTAAAAGTGGAATTTCTTTATTAGTTAATAGCTGTAGCATTATATCTTTCTTTGAGAGCAGACATATAGGAATCCAATATAGTGAATTGACCTCACATGTGGCAGACTGCATAATTTAATCTCCAGCTAGGGGCTTTCTCTTTTAGCGTGAGTTCTAATATTATTGATTGCGAACATATAGCATCATTGTGAATAGTGGTGAAATTATTAAAAGTATAGCATAACTAGTGCTTGTTTGGTTATTTGTGAAATATTTCGACCCTAAAAATGGCTACTAAAAAATGTAAAGTTGATTCAGTGCCGTGCTTTTAATGATGAATGAAACTGGAAATATTTTTTTACAGTTGTAAAATATAAACCACTATGTCTCATCTTCAGTGAAGCTGTAACAATCTTCAAAGAAAATAACTTTTCCCATCATTTCAGAATCCAAGCATAAAAATTCGAATTGCGAAGAAATGTCCGAATATGAAAAAAAACAAAATGCAGAAAGTCTTTGAAAAATATTATCAGGCCGACAAAAATTTTTCAGAAGGTAAACATTATCTAAGAAGCAGTTACATGTAGCATACAATAGTGCTAAAAATAATAAGCTTTCAGTGATGGGGAGTTCATTGTACAATGCATGCTCAAAGTTTGTGATGTTTTATGTCCAGACAAGAAAAATAATTTTGAGACTGTAAACGGAGACTTTGAGACTCGAAAAACAGCGACTTCTAGAATCGAAGACATTGATAAAAATTTTATATCACAGCTAGAGTCAAAGATTAGCCAATTTTGCTCTATAGCTATGGATGAAAGCATTGATATAAATGATACTGCTTAATTAATATTATTTATAAGAAGTGTTGATGAGAACTTTGAAATTACCAAGGAACTAGCATGCGTGTGTTTTTTAAAGAGGGGGTGTGATATTTTTCGTGAATTTTAGGTAGGGCTTTTAACTTTGAAAGTGCCCATAACAAATATATTTAATATTATGACCGATGGAGAACTAAACATGACAGAAAAAAGTTTGGATTTCATGGACTCTTTCATCAAAACTATGCCGGGAACAATGATGTTTTTCTACATTGTGTTTCACATTGTGTTTTCTACATTGTTTTGAGATTTTCTTCACTCCGTGCAATCTGAATACTCTGATGTATGGTATTACACGAAAGTAAGTTGCTTGATGCAGGATGTGTCTTCGAGCGAGTTTGACAACTGAAAGACGACATTGTGTCGTTCTTCCATGAGAAACAGTGTTCTGTAGAGTGCAAAATGTTCAAAGATACAGCATGGCTTTTGGACTTTGCATTTTTCACAGTTCTTCGTTGTCATATGAGCAATCTGAATTTCAAGACGCAAGGGAAAAATCAATTTATCGACAATATCTGAGCCCATCTCAAAGCTTTTAAACTAAAACGTAATCTGTTTGCTGGGCAGCTAGCTAAGAATGACTTTTCCCGAGGTTAAATTCAGTACTCTCAGTAAATGAAGAGAAGCTTAAGAGGTTAAATTCAGTACTCTCAGTAAATGAAGAGAAACTTAAGAATTATGAAGATAGCTTGAAAAAACTGCATTTTGAGTTTGAACTTAGATTTCAAGATTTTAGTGCCATTCAAACAGAAGTGGATATTTTTGCCATACCTTTCAACATAAATTGTACAGCAGTGAGGTCATATTTGCAGCTTGAATTAATTGAGTTGTAATCTAACAATCATCTCAAGCAGTTGTTTCTAAAAATGCCAAACTTAGAGTTTTCACAAATCATTATCGAAAGTAAGTTTCTAAAATTTCATATCTTACGCCCAGAAAAATCTGTGCTATGTTTGCTTGCACAGTTTGCTTTGTATGTGAATAAGTGTTTTCAACTGTTAGCTAATTATTTCAGAAAGAGACTGTCAGATAAGCATTTAGCCTCGATCCTTAGAATCAGTATATCTCACTTCTAACCTCAATATAAGGAACTTTAAAAAGGAAATCGCAATTTCATTCATCTCATTAACATATTTAAATTGTAAAGCTTGTATATTGTTTTTAAAATTTTGGAAAAATTTATCTTGGCCCACCAAACATTTTTTTTTTTTCGATAGACCAAAAAAGTTTGCCCATCCCTGGTATAAGGAGTTAAATTGCATTTAGTTTTGTGAATCAAAATTTGCAAAGAATTTGGGCCACAGCAGTTGAGAGATCACTAATTCTAATGAAATGATTACATGTTATTTGCTTCTTATTTCACCCTAACATTCAATTTTTGATAATTTTTCATCAGAAAAAGGCTCAAAGTATATTTTACTTATGCAATTTTTTCCATATTTAGTTTTATTTAAGCTATATACATGTAGTTAAAAACAAATATAAAAGGAATTTATATAAAGAGAATAAATAGTAAGGAGAAAAACTCATCGTTTGTGAAGAATGTCCCAAAAGTATCTATTTCAAGAATGTGAAACTTTTTATTAAAATTAGTTTTACTATTTCGTAGACATCGTGGAAGAAATTAATGCATATATATTGAAAGAACTTTGAAATTCTATGGAAAAAAAAAAAAAAAAAAGGAAATATCCAGCACACATTCTGTTCATTGATTAGGTACATGCTCACCTCAATTAAATGATTTAATATATTAATGTATCTACATTAAAATTAAATACAGTACAAAGTCTTTAATCGGGACTTCGGCGATTCCAGATTAGAGGTTCTTCCAAATTGTATATCATCAATTTAAATCTGGTAAGATGGCATGCAGAGATTAATAAATTAAAAATATGAAACCATAATTTATGAAATAAAGAGCAATTATGATCTAAAATGTATCAAGATTTACAAAAAAAAAAAAAAAAAGCTTAATAATTATTTGTTTACTTTATTAAACATTTCTTTCAATGCTATTTGTTCAAGTTGCTTTGTTTTTTGTGTTGATACTTTCTCTTTAATTTTATAAACAGTCATAATTTCTTGTTCAGTTCCACTGTTCAAGTCCTGTAATTGCTGTGTCGAGAATAACGACTAACTTGTCAATTGAAATTTTTTCGTTTTCAATAACCTCTCTGTTACTTTCTTCACTATAGGAAGTGGTACATCAAAACATGCTTTCGCTTTGTAGATCCTTTGGCAGCTCCAGAATCGAAAACTCTTTTTGACATAATCGAAAGTTCAAGCTTACTTTTTATAAAACTGCTCTCTAACAGTCTGAAAAAAACAATAAGCCGGATCCAATTAGAAGATTAAGGAACAACGCAATCTGCGACATTGAATGAATTAGATAATTTTAGCCTAGCTTATACCCTTCGTTATACATTAAATGTGCATGCGTAAAGGTATTATGCGCATGCATATAGGTATGCATAACTCATTATGCGTTTACGCATGCACAGAAAGTTTGTAGCTTTGAGGTCCGGATTATGGACGTCCGAATTAAAGACTTTGTACTGTGTATCTGCATCAGTTAAATCTAAGCTTGGATTAAAGCATTTTGCTATATGAGTATACTATATAGATTATGAGTATACTATATAGATTTTCAAAATAGTTAATAGAAGTATAACGCATGAAAAATAATGAATGTATAATGTAAATAACCAGTGTTATTTTATTTTTGTTTATGAATGTATGTTAAATTTTATTGCTATTTATCTACCCATAAATCAGTATGCATAATAAATGCCGACAGTTCTAAATGGGAGAATTTTAGTCTCAGGCACTCTTTAAGAAAATAACTGCATACATGTCTGTGATGTAGTCTTTCAAATTGAATGTGTAAAAGAATTTAACAATAAATTTTATTTTTAGGTTATAGAACCAGAAAAAGGATCTGTAAATAACAGCAATATTTTCAATTTATGCGAGTCTGGTAAGTAATTTATTTGTGTTTTCATTATTAATTGTAGACAAACTATGAGAATATGCTATTAGTTATAAGCAAAGTATGCTAATTGTTGTGTTTTTACATTTTAAAGTGGAATATAATGATAAATTTATTAACTTATATATAATATACAAGGTGCTCACTAAAGTCTGGTACCATCCATTTATATAGGGTGCCCACGTAAGTTTGGTACCATCGATTTAACTGCTGAGCAGCTGAAGCTATAGTCATAAAAAAGGTGTCTAGGTATAGTAAAGTGGCTGTGTACTGCTAGATGAGACTGCTTACAGCACCACCTGGTAGAAAATGGCAGAGTTATCTTTCGTATTTTGAAAACAATACGAGATGGGAGGAAAAAGTTATGAAGTTGTAGAGCATCATCAATTTAGTATGAAAAGACACCTCCGGCACGGAAATGTTAACAGAATGTTTTAAGCACATGTTTGTTTGTTCATGATTTCCTACACTGTGACATGCCGAAACAATCTTAGGAAGAGGGGAAACAGCTAGTTATCACAAGGTATCTTTATTTTCAATGTTCAAACATCTTTCCATCAGCCAAAAAGCATATGTTAGAACTTTATGGTGCCTATGTTGTAGCATAGTGTATGACACATTTGCACAAACATCTGTGATATGTTGTTGAAGGTCCTTCAGTGTTTGCAGATTGGTGGCATATATCTGCTGTTTGTAGTATCCCCATAGGAAAAAGTTCATTGGAGTCAGGTTAGGTGAATGTGAAGGCCACTCTTTAAACCCACCATACCCAATTATTTGTTCTCCAGATTCCTCCGTCAAGTACTGCTTTGCTGGTGATGTCGTGCGCAGGTGCACTGTCATATTGGAACCATCCATTCTGGAGTTGAAGCAATGGTAGGTTCTCAACAAAATCAGGTGCTATGTCTTGCAGAAGTTCTAAACGTCGTGCGACCATTAACATACCATGGTAAAATATTGGGCTGATTAGCACAATATTGTAAATTTTACACTATACATCAATCGAAAACTGTATTTGATAAAGAATGTCAGCAGAACCTGATGGATTTCCCAGTGCCCAATAATAAGTGTTCTCTCTATTGTACATTTAGTTCTTTCTAAAGCATTCATCATCTATTTACATTGTATTTGCCACATTATATTGATTGTGTTGATTGGACCTCTGCTTGGTTCATGATAAAGTTACACCACACAAAACATACCTTGGCATCCCCATTCTGTAATGCCTGATTAGGTGTGGGCCAGTATGAATTAGCACCTAATTCATTTAGGATTTTCCAAACATAAAACATCCCTTGGCATCCCCAGGCGCAGAATCGAAGGGGCGCCAAACTGATGTTACGACATTTTAGAATTAAATATTTTCCATCATTGGCAAGCAGTAGGGGGCACGAAATCTTCAGTTGTCCCTGGGCGCTGAAAACCCTAGCTACGACTCTGCTTATAGGTAAATAATTATGCTCATTGTCCTACCACAAAATGTCAAAATGTAGCAGTCTGTCTGCATTCACCTATCTCATTACTCTTGAATGCAGTATCCTGCAGAGCATACCTCTTGCAATACTTTCTCTGTTGATAGATTCAGAAACAATACAAAACCTTTCTTTTATATGAAAATTAACCCCTTCTTGCCGGGTAGTGCAAACACGTGCTTATCGCGGAGGACGGCAGTGTCTTACTCAAGCGTTTGTCCATAGCCTGGGTCTTTTTTGCTATTAAGCCTAAATCCATGAAATTTCCAAAGTATCAACACATTGTTTAATAATGCTCTATATAGTATTTAAACGGCTTATGCTTTATAGATATTTTTATATATACAGTCAAAAGTCGTTAATCCGGACTCGTCGGGACTTCGGCGATTCCAGATTATCGATTTTTTCGGATTATAGATCAACAGTTTAAATCTCGTAAGATGGCATGCAGAAATTCTAAAATTAAAAATATGAAACCGTAATTTATGAAATAAAGAACAACTATGATCTAAAAGGTATCAAAATTTACAAAAAAAAAAAAAAAAAAAAAAAAAAAAAAAAAAAAAGCTTAATATTTATTTGTTTACTGTATAAAACATTTCTTTCAATGTAAGTTGTTTAAGTTGCTTCGTTTTATGTGATAATACTTTCTCTTTAATTCTATAAACAGACTAATTTCTTGTTCAGTTACAAAGTTTCTGCTGTTCAAGTCCCGTTAATTGCTGTGCCGAGAATACCGACTAACTTGTCAATCGAAATTTTTTCGTTTTCACTAACCTCTCTGTCACATTCTTCATGTTTTATCCATTTTTTGCAGGAATTCCACTTTTTGTTTGTTGGACATCAAACATACTTTCGTTTTGTAGATCCTTTGGAAGTTCCAGCATCGGAAATTCTATTTGACATAATCGAAAGTTCAAGTTTACTTTTATAAAATTGCTCTTACAGTCTGCAAAAAATAATAAGCGCCATCCAATTCGAAGATTAAGGAACAACGCAATCATTAACTGAAATAGATAATTAGATAATTTTAGCTTACACCGTCCGTTATACATTAAACGTGCAGGCGAAAACGTATTCTGCACTTGCGCACATGCATATGCGCAGTAGTCAAGGTCTTACGCACACGCGTAAAACGCCTGTACGCATGTGCCAACGCGGCGCATGCGCAGAAAGTTTTTAGCTTTGAGGTCCGGATTATAGATCATTCTGGATTATGGGTGTCCGAATTAACGACTTTTGACTGTACTTTAATTTCCTTATTTCTTGTTTAAATGGATATTTTACGCATTTTATTTTCATTACTCACCATTTTATGACTTTTAACATTATACATCTGAAAACTAAATATATTACTTAAAATTCTCTTTTCGTATGAAAAATTTGAAAACAGGGATCTACACACAGTCCCACGTTACATTCCTTGCACTCGTAATAACTCATTTGCCGTTTTGGAGGATTTTTCCGGTAATGTGAACAACCGAAGCATCGTCGTCTCATTTTCTTATCAGTCTCTTCTGAACAAAGTTTTGGAAAATGTCTTTCAGTTAATCTGAGCGGATTTAATGTTTCTGCTGATCTTGGTGTGATATTAACATAGGTGCTTTTAGAGGAATACCAATAAATAATTTGATTAACTAAATTAAGCCGATAATTCAGGAGAGGAAGATTTTTTTAACTTTTTTTGTTGAAAAGAGTATTGGCGTTAAATACAGCCATATCATTATTGTATCATCAAAATAATACCTAAAGAAATCAATTTCTTCTTCAACCGAATTATCCACTTTAATTCCAGGAACAGCTTTAAATGGTAATTCCGATAAATTTTCTATTGTGGATGACCATGGAGAAGTACTTGCTTTCGACGTACTCGGCATACAGATGTCCGAAATGTCCTCATCATCATTAGATTCGCCAGATTCTTTATGATCAGATTATATCATAGTATCACTATCTACTATCAGAATCTGTTTCAGAATCAATATCTGAAATATTTTGCATCATTTCTGCTATTTCATGCTCTGTTAAACATTTTCGATGCTTCGACATTGCAACGGTAAAAACAGAAAGAATTCATATCTAACAAGATCTAATTATTTTCTAAAAATTGAACTGCAAACCGAAATACCCAACGCTTTAGCGAAAATAAAACTTCTCTACTTACAATAAACAACTACAACGTGCGAATTTAGAGACTTCATAAATCACACCATTTGGAAACATTTATTTCCCCTTTTGTTTATATAATCAAAAACACGTGTATGTGAGTCATGCTTCTCTCATTTCGAGTAGAAGGTCTAATGTACATGTATCTGAAACCATATGGACATACAGTGCCATCTTGTGGCAGAAATTATAGTTTTTAAAATGTTCCAGGACACTGGCACAAATACGTGACAGTCGGGGCTGAACGGGAAAACGCTCTGGGACACCTGCATGTCGGCTGGGAAGTGAATGTGTTCATTGCTGGCACGTAGATGTGACAGTCGGCCCGAAGGGGTTAATTTAATATTAATTTTTTATATCAAGTGTATGCCTTATACTAGCACAGAAAGAATGTTTATGCCTGTGTCTTAAATTTAAATGTTCATAATCATATTAACTAAGTAGTTGAAAATGAGCCAGCTCTATAAAATTTTCTTTTCTTTTTCTTTTTTTTAAAAAATATATATAATTGCATATGAAATAGTTTAATTATGCCTAAAGATTAAAGGCATGTGAAAAGTATTTTATAATAAAAATGTACTGTGATACTTAAATTCTATGTGATCTTAACAAGAAAAGAAGAACAGCACTATTTTGATTTTTACAGGTTGTTTGAATGTTGAACAACAGTATTTTTGTAACTTTTCTTATTTTCTTTTATTTTTTCATTAGTGTAGCTTTAAATTTTCACAGTTAATACTTTGAAATGAATTTAAAGGAATTGAATAATCTTCTACGATAAAACTTTTTACAACATTATAATTGGGAAATTTGTCAGGATTTTCAAGTATTTAATAAATTCTGCAGTAAAATTGACTGCTGTATTTTCAGTGTAAATAGACATGTTTTTACTAGATTTCCTATTCAGCTATATTTTATATATTCTTATTGTAATTTTATTTTTAAAATTATGTACTAAAAATTTATTTATGCAGGATTTTATCATGTTGGGTTATATAATTTCTTGAGTATGGAGTGTAAATAATGCATATATTTTTCATTTTCCATTTCATTTTACTTTTGTCTTTAAATGCTCAAAAGGTCATGCAGAACGAAATGTGATACAATTCTCTTGGATTATGCAGGTTTTTATGTTTCAGATTATTACCCCTTGAAAAGCCAGTCAGAAACATAAAAATATGAATAATTTTTCATGTATTATAAATTTTAACATGAATAGTATATCCATTTTAAATAAATGATAAAAAATTAAAAAATAGTAAAGGATTGCCTTTAGTTTTGATTCATAATTTTAAAATGTAATAGTTTTCTTTATGCAATTTTAGCATTTTCCTGGCATTGTTTAATTTGCTTCTGCTAAATTATTAAGTTTTTGATATATACATATGAAATGACTTAGATTTTGAAGATAAAGATCACTAAGTCGTAAGCAGTTAAACAGTTCTTTTATATATGATATCACATTTTTTTTCATGCAGATGCAAATAAATTGATGCAAAAGTGCATCTGTTTGAAGAATTTTCATATTTTTGAAGTAAGCAAGAAAAACAGTGGTGCAGAGAAGCAGAGAGCTAATGCTACATGTCTAAGACAAAAGCCTAATGTAGAATAAATCAGTTTTAGCTCAGATTTATTCATATTAGTTGTTAAAAGTTTGCTTCCCCAAATTTAAGATTATTATTGGCTTTGGTGTTATGTATATTTTGTAAGAACTATGCGAGGCGGATTGATTTTAGAATAGAAAGTGGAACTAAGCAATTTAAGAAAAAAGTTAAGGAGCCATCACAAATTAAAGTTAGTATTTTATCTTGAATGTATAAAAATATGGGAATACTAAATAATTTGACTAATGATTTAATGGTAAACAGCATTATACTTCTTAAAGAATGGGTTTTTGAAATTGACAATTATGAGAGTTCAGAATTCTAAAGATGCAATAGTAAGTTTTGTTTTCATTTTTGTGAACTTTTTATTAAGTTTAAATAGCAAAAGTGTGAAACAAGCTTAAAGTTTAAGACACAATAACACGCCGAACAAATACTAATTCAGAAGTCAAACAACAAAAATCAGCGTTATATTTTCAAATTTTCACAGGACTAGTTTCGATGGTTTTACTGAACCACTATGCATTTTTCAAAATGGTTTATTTAGGAAAAGCTTTTAAGGGTAATATAATTGCACTGAGAGATGAATTGGGTTTAATTTTCGCACCAAATCCAGTTATGCAGCATAACTGTTGAAATGGAAAGTATTAATGAAAAAATTACTGGTTACAATATTCTCTGAGCAGGAATGGAGGAGAAATTAAATTATGAAAAAGGGGAGCAGGAAAGAAAAAATTAAATTATGAAAAAGGGAGCAGGAAGGAGAAAATTAAATTAGAAAAAGCAGTGTAGGAATTTAAATTGAGAAAGCTAGAGTTAGAAATTGAAGTGAAGCAAAATGCTGATTCAAAACTCTTGGAGTAATGATGTATTAATTTTTATGGAAATAGTAATATCAGTTTTCATGAAAATAAGAATGCCAGTATTTATTTAAAGCTATTTGAAGGACATTGATAGAATAGGCAAACAAGTTGCATTCCTGTTAGAGCTACTTCCATTAAATATTGTGAATTTATTGTCACTTAAGTGTGACCTGTTGGCAAACACATAATCTGCAGGTTATGACTACTTTAAATACTTTTTAATCACTTCAAACTAAGTCCAGAGCAGATCAGAAAAAATTTGCATCTTGGCATGATTTTGCCTATGAATTGAACAACTTCTGTGAGGTAGAAGGTTTAGAAATAAAAACTTATGGCAATCTAAAAATTTGAGCAATTAAAATAGAAGCTACCAAATGAGGTTTGCAAAGAGGTACAATGCCTAACATAATAGCCAAGTTTAAACATAATAGCCGAACTTGAAAACAATATCTGAATGGATCATGGCATCATAGTTATTTATTTCATCAATAATAACCAAGAGAATTTTTGAGGAAATTGGGTAACTAAACACCCTTGCAAAATTAAGTGTACTATCGTGAAGGTAAGAAACTTCATGCATATTGCATTCATAGTGTTTCTAACTTTGTGTTTCTTCTTGTGCTTGTTTTACTTTTGGTTTACCTTCATAATATATGAAATACACCTCTTTGTATGCTAGATGTATGCTTTTTTTTAATTATTATTCTTAGTATTATGCAGTAATATGTATATTTAGAAGTGGTTTCCTTATTCTGTGTAACTTATTTTGTTGTTAATTTGTAGTGATGTATTAAGTATTTTTCATGTTTATCTGTAGCAAAAGATGTTAATGCAGAAAACAATGCACGGTCTGCTCTTGAGGAAGCATTAGATGCTCTGGTCACAGGTGATCCTATTGTGGGTAAGATATGTTTCACAATTAATATTCATAGTGTTTTTTCTGCTTCATGTAAAGCTATTTTTTTTTAATCTTTGTTTATATCTGAAAAGAATGCGAAATTCTGTGAAATTTAAATAGGGAAATATAATCTTAGCTGTATTGCTATTATCAGCCTATAAATTTTAAGTGATCACACCAATTAACTGTAAGAAAATATGTTTCATTTTTTTCAGTATCTTAATTTGCTGATGATGGAAATAAGTATGGTCACTTCTGATCTATTAATTTCATAAAAATCTGGATTCTTTTAACTATCATAAGTAGATTACAAATCTAAATGTTATGTTTTGAATTTGGAGCTCAAAGAATTAATATCAAAATCTTGTGTAATATAAAAATTTAATCCGGCAAATTTATTTTAAGAAAAAACCAAAATCTTTGTATATTACAACTATCTTTGTTACAAGTAATCAGTTAAATGGACCAAAAAGGTATTTAGCTTTCTGTTGTGATATTTAGCCATTGATTTTTTAGATTTTAAGTTTAGCATATCACAAAAGGGTCATAGGTGTTCTTGGATGATGAGAATTTTTTCAAATCTAATTTGGTGGAAATGATGTTTCATTGTTTATGTCCTTAGTGTGAATGCGCTATATAATTCTGAATATAAATGATTGATGTTGCCTTATCATTCTGAATATAAATATTGTTTGAAGGAAATTCTGAACAGAATTTCATTTCCATAAAAATATTATAATCACGATTTCCATACTAATGCAGTAGAACACCAGATCTCTGTACAACTTACAATCTGAGCTTGTAGAGGTTTTAGTTTTGTAAGAGACAGGTCATAAGTGAAAAATATTTAGATTTAGCCTAAAAATTGAAGACTAAAGAAAAATAATAGTATTAAAAAAAAAAAAGGTTTTATAAAAGCAGTTGATTTTTTTTTTTTTTTTTTTTGATTTTGTAAGGAGAAATATATATTAATTATATTATAACTTTAGTTGCTAAGGTAGACATTTTTAAACTATGCTGTAACTTAATAGGTATTAAGTATATATATATATATTAATACATATATGTGTGTGTGTGTGTAAGATAAAAAAAGCATAAATTAAAATTATAATTTAAACTAATGGTAAACTAATGGTAACCTTTAGTATTTATTCGGCGTGTTATTGTGTCTTAATAATGGTAACCCCTTTAATTCTTCCTCTTTATTCTAAAAATCGTAATAACGTCCCTGGATTGCATCAATTCTAGATCAATCCATCTTGCATTGCCCACGCAATGCTGATGACATGGGTAATTCAGAACCTAAACTCAAAATTTTGAGAACTAAAACCTTTCTGACCTAAACCAAAGCCTTCCTATTTGGCGATCTTCCATATTTGATAAATGCATACTGTAGCTTCACCTTCTGTGCTGCTTGGATACTATTTGTCTTAGCTCTCTTCTTATCGCAGTAGTATAAAAAATGTAAATGCTCTGAAAATAGAAATGATTATTAGAGTGCCAAGTAAATTGTAGCCACTAGTGTCAATTGAAATAAAAATGAATATTTAATATTACATGGCTTTCAAGTTTTCCTTAGTACTACAGATTCAACATTTCAGTATACTATGCAATCAGCATTCTTCAATATGCCATCTATGTGCTTCACCATCAGTATTTCTGGGTTTCTACATCTCGGTGTTCCTACATCAGTAGTTCGAAATTTGATTTATTACACACATGCACATACATAAAATAATGAGCCCTATCACTTAAGCAGCTTAGATTGAAAAAATGTATTAATTTTATAAAGTAAGGAATTTTTACTAGAAAAGATTGCACTATCTTGGAAATTGAAAAAACTGTTGTTAAAGAAAAATTTTTATAGCAAAGAAATCAAAGAATTAATCTTAAACGGAAAGAATCTTAAAAATAAGCTTTAAGTCTTAAATTGTTTTTAAAAAACATGAAACACAAACTGTAAATGAATTATTCGTTGTTAAATGTTCCAGTTAGACTCATCAGAGGGTAATTGTTAAAACAAAAATAATAAAGGAGTTTTGAATACGTTTCATCCTTTTTTGACTACTTGAGTGGACAAATTAAAAATAATATAAAAAATTTTTTTACAAAAACTAATCCCCATCTTCAAATTGTTAAAAATACTCCCCAATGTGAATTCAGATTTTGAAAGAAAATAAAAATTACAAAATAGTAAAAGATGCAAAATATAAAAAAAGTGAAATCAAAATTCTAGAGAAAAATCGCATCAAATTTACAGTAAAAATACAAAGTGCCAGAATATGTAGAAGACTTATTATGAAATCACTTATTTTTTAAAGAAACATTGTTTGCTTTATGTGCAGTTTGAAAGAATGTGAGAATTGCCTTCTTTGAAGGGGAAAAAATGTTAATTACTGTGTATTTGGCTAAAAATTTTATACGTTACCAATTTCTAAATATGAATTCTGGAATACATTCTAAATAACAACTAAAAGTGAAATGAAATACTTAAAATATGTTTCAAAACTTTCTTATTTTTCTTAAAACTGTGTTCATGAAAATATTGGATGCTGAAACTGGCACAAATTAACGTTTTATGAACTGAGAATGTGGGAGGAAGAAATGCAGTAGGTTTATCATAAATCTTAAGAATCATTTCACTTAAATGAAAAAGCAACCTTTAGTTAAAGATTGGTGTCCTTGTCATTGTACTTATATTGTAAAAAAATAAGCCAAACTAAGGTACTATGATGTATTATTAAGCAATTTGGCATAAAAAAGAAAACAGTTTATTCAGAAAAAGAGTATTTGAACCTGTAGAAAAATAGGGTTGCAAAAACGAATGTAGAAATTAGAGATATAATGGCTAAAAATGAATTTAAAATATCCTGGCAAAATTTACAGAAATTGAAAATAGTAAGATAAACAGTGCTGTCTGTGGTCCGGGAAAATCCCGGAATTCCGGCGATTTTGAACTTCGTCGTTCAAAAGGAAGTAGGAATAATAATGAGTTATTTATTTTGATCTGGGTAATTTTGTTTGCTTTGAAAGCAGAAAACGCAAGGTCAGTGTGTGTGGTGAAAACTTTTCCTTTCTTTCTCCAAAGGCAGTGATAATGCGTGAAAAGGGGGAAAAAATTCTTTTTTGTTCTTTCCTTATTTAGAGTTATGACTCATTCCCCCCGGTTCTTGGACATTCTCTTCTAGATTCTTTTCGGCAAGTAGGCACGGCAGATAAAAAACGGAGAGACTTCGTTCGACCAGATGCGCGATAACGGGACTCTGGGTTCAAAGGTCTTATCTCTCCTGGCGGGGCGTCAATAAGTAGAGAAGGGGGATTTTTCGTTGTATTAGCTATTTGTCATTGATCGCATCTCAACTTTTTTTTCTCCGCTGTGTAAAATTTTTGTTTCATTTATTGATGCACGTGTAAATTTTTCGTTTTGTTTATTGAAATATTTTTTTATTTATGTATGCAAGAGAATTTCACTATGAAATTTCTCGATAAAAATAGTGATATTATACAATTAGAAGAAGGTGTCCGGAATGCATTTAGGTGGAATTGGATTGAACGGAGAGATGGTAATGGGGATACCATCGGTACATGGTGCAAGAAAATAAATGTTGCTGGACAAGCATATTGTGTTTTTTGTAACTCACTGCTGAAGTATGGTGGGGAAGGATTCAAGGCTTTCACAAATCATTCTAAAACTGTGACGCACATAAAATATTCAAAGTGCATTAGACATTCAATGACTTTAAGTAATTATGCTAATTAAAAAAAAAATACTCATGACTTACTGGAGACTGATGCTCGGCCATTGGATATAGTGACAAGAAAAGCACGCCAAGAGGTATTAATAACTTCGTTTATCGCCGAGAATTCTCTTTCTTTCAATGTAGCTTCCAATTTAATTGAACTCTGCAAACAGTTGAGCCGCGATCAGACGGCACTAAACTCGTTGGAAATGTCCAGGACTACTGCATGTTATAAGATGAAATATGGGCTCGCAAAAACTATTAAGGAAAATATCATTAAAACTTTAAAGAAGACTCCATTTTCTCTAAATTTGGAAAGTACTAGCAATGCTCAAGAAAGTATACTGGCAATATTGGCAATATTGATGCAGTTTTATGACAACAATCAAAATGAAGTTGTAGTTCATCATTTTGCATCTCTAAAGATGGAATCTTGCAATACAGAATCTGTTTTTAAAGCAGTTGTTAATACTATTGAAGATAATAATATTCCATGGGCAAACTTAATTAGTGTATTAATGGACTCATGTAACAACATGCGTGGAAAAAAAAGGGTGTTGAAACCAGACTACGATCAAACAAAGCACCCCACTTATTAGATATTGATGGTGACACATGTCACACAGCTAATAACTGTGCAAAAAAATTTGCTTCATGTTTTGATAGATACTTAGAAGATTTGTTTGATGACATCTATTTTGATATGAAAAGCTGCAGTAAAAGAGAAAATTTTTTCAAAATCTGTGAATCCCTTGCCATTAAAAAAGCTTAAGCCCTTGAAGAGACCAGACCATAGGTGGGTGTACATTTTATGTGTTTTTAGAAAGAATCAAAGATCTGTGGGATGCTCTTATTGCATTTTATTTTCACTACTTGGATAAAACTGATAAAGGGGATTATTTTTCTTATGTTGAAACTGTATACAATAAAAGAAATATTTCTGCAGCTCAGAAAAAAATTGTTGAAGGGGTGTATTCTTGCTTGCATTCCCAACAACTCACAAAGGATGCTTTAGCTCGAAAAAAAAGAATACTAAATGGGTTATTTGTTATGCAAAACAAAACTTTATTGCATATGGCATTATATTCAGCAGTATTACCAGAGTTCAACATATATATTAAATTATTTGAAACAAAAAAACCAATGCTTCATTCCAGTATTTATAAATTGATGGCAAAATTTTTCTCTTTTTTTTTTTTTTTATGAAGCCAGAAAATATAGAGTGCACATCTTATAATGATTTATTAAAGGTTGATGTCACAAATCCAGAATTCCATCTACCTAGCAAAGTAATATTTACTGGTGCAGAAGCTTCCAACTTCCTCTTCCACTCTCCTGAAGAAATTATCAAAAAATCATCCAATAGCAAAAGAATTCCAAATTTCTCTGATGAAAGCTTATACTAATACAGCACAGCATATGAAACAGAAATTACCCCCCCTTAAAAATTCATATCTAATTAGTTTTTACAGCATTAGATCCAGAGCTAAGAGGTAAAACCAGTACAATATTAGCTTTTGAAAAATTATCATCTTTTTATGTCCCATATTTTTAGTGATAATGAAAAGTCAAAAGTAGAAGCTGAAATAAGGTTATACCAGAGTGATATTGATATCACCAAAGAAATGCTCTACACATCTGATGAAAGTGGAAATCAAGTCAAGTGTACAATTGATAAATATTGGTCTAAAGTTTTTAATTTAAAAGATGATTTCACAAATGATTATAAGTATCCTACATTGGCTAAATTGGTCAAAGCCTGCCTTAGCTGCTTCCATGGCCCATTCGTGGAAAGTGCATTCAACTTAGCATCAATATTGCCAGTATACTTTCTTGAGCATTGCTAGTACTTTCATCCAAATTTAGAGAAAATGGAGTCTTCTTTAAAGTTTTAATCATATTTTCCTTAATAGTTTTGCGAGCCCTTTCATCTTATAACATGCAGTAGTCCTGGACATTTCCAACGAGTTTAGTGCCGTCTGATCGCAGCACAACTGTTTGCAGAGTTCAATTAAATTGGAAGCTACATTGAAAGAAAGAGAATTCTCGTCGATAAACGAAGTTGTTAATACCTCTTGGCGTGCTTTTCTTGTCACTATATCCAATGTTGTTGTTAATGGATACGCTTGTCACTGACTATAGAACCTCTCTTAAGATTGATTCCTTAGATGCAGTGCAGACTATTAAATATGATTTAATGGCTTCTAAAGAAACCTCATATGGAAAATATGGCTAAAAGAATCCAATGACTGATCCAATTCACAAAGATCTCTTACTGAATATGAACAGAAGTTGGAAAAAATATCAAGAGGACTTAAAAACATGTATTTCAGATGAGTCACCTGTAAAAGTCTCTGAAAAACCTTCTAACCTTCTACATTAGCAGAAAAGCAAACTGCTTCTACCTCTGCATGTGCAGTTCTCGAGGAAATTTCTTCAACTGTAAATGAGGAAAATAAAAGTCAACCTTCCTGCAATTATGAAGTTCACCACAAAAGAAAGACAAGCCCACAAACATCAGAAAATAAAAAAAAAGCAGCAGAAATTAGATAATTTTTTTTAAGAATTAATTCAGGTAATTTAAAGTATTTACATAAAATGTAGTAGTTTATATGTTTGAAAATTTATGGTTATTAATTTTGCAAAAAAAGTAATTCATTGAACTTTTATAATTAGGTCATTCAATACTTCGTAATTGTAATTTTTCATTTTTCTCCCCCCCCTTCTCGAAACTCCAAAATGTCGGTAGTAAGTTCGTAAAAGTTTCATGGGATTTTTTGGGGTCCCACAAACAGCCCTGGATAAAATAATACAGTCTTCACACAATTCAGCTTCATTGTGTCTGATGAAATAAATTTGTACTGAAACTGTTACATGAAAAAGGATTACAGTATTTACAAATGTCTGATTTTAATTACCATTCTGCTTTACTCTCCTGTCTAAATAATGGCAATCATATCATAATAGAAAAAGGAATTAAATTTGTTAATGCTTTGATTTTTAAGATTGATACAATATTTTAGAATTTGATTTTCCAGTAAAAGTAATATCTCTTCTTAAAAAATGAACTTCTATACAAATATTCTTGATCCTAAAAAGTTAATTGTAGGTTGTGTTTTTAATATTTTCATAGAAATGTTGGATTCCCTGTTAATTAATTTTATTGTGTTAAAATTGAAATCTCTTCTTTTGTAAGAAAGGATTGTATGCTTCTATTTTTCTAAATTTTCTATAACATGATGTACCTAAAAATATTAGTAAAGTAATTTTTGTCACCTTTTTAAGTGAGTTTTGGTAGTGAAATTCTTTAAAGAAAAGACATATGTTGCAACTCTTAGGAATACCATTTATTTGTTGAAATATAAATTCTCTAAACTGTATGAAGTTATGAAACAATGCACAACATAAAATTTTTCTATTGCTATAAATTCTCAAAATCATAACAGTTGGTATCTTTTACTTTATCATTAAGTTTGGAAAAATCATATCATTGTTGTTAATAATCCACTTGTAATGGATTATTTATAACATTCTTGAGTTCCGCTTCTCTCTACTTCCTGATTGGTAATATCGGTTTGTTGCTCTAAATTTTTTCTCACTTAGTTCTTGCTATTTTGATATGGCATTCTATTTTTGAAGGCAAACAGGTACAGGTCCCTCTTTGTCAGGGACAAAAAAATATGCAAGACTTTCAGAAAGTGAAAGTTTAGTGACTTTGGGCAAGGTGTTTGTTTAGCAACAGTTATGAAAGCAGTAATCATTTGAATATTGTACCTTGCTTCAATACTGAATGAGGAAATCTATCGTGTATAATATTCAAGTGTTGTTAAAAAAACAGCTAAAAACATGTACATGACACCACTTTCATCTGAGAAGCTATGTATTTTACAATTTTCAATCTAGGACACTCACAAGCTCATAATCTTTGATTAGGATTTTGTCTTTTCTTATTTTTTACAACAAAATATGCATTGTTTGTTAATGTTTCTAAAGAATGTTACAGTGTTAATAGTAGGGGATTGAATTTTCTTTTGTTATTATTTTGACTGTGATACGCTAAAGTAGATATTTTATTCAAGTTTTTTTAAAATTCTGTAGCACATCAAGTAGACATATTAAGTATTGTTAATTAAATATGTGTAGTATGCAACCTTAGCTCCAGCTCATTTGTGACATGTTGAAACTGAGTTTGCATCTTTCAACTGACCATTTCAGTTCTTCCATTTACATACATTCACCTTATTCTGAGAATAGGGTTTTGCTTTGTTGTAACAAGAAAAGTCTTAGTTAATTATTGGCTATTATCTAGAAATCATGTGATTTATAATGGCCATTTTTCATTCATAATGGCCTGCTAGATATTAGGCTTAAAGACTGAAGGGGGAAGCTGTAGCAAAACAGACACCACCAGATAATTATGCTCTAAGCACAGACATACTCAACCATATCTAGATCATGCATTATAATTTGATCCTCCTTAAGACTTTCTTGTTCTCCTCTTGATCCATAATTCAATGATTGTTTCATTTTCCCCATTCTTAATGATGTTGGTATTGATACATTTGATCTGTGACTATCAGTAGAACAATCCTGAAAGTCAAATGTTCCTTCTTCAATAAATAATCATATTATTGGCTTCTGTGTGTGAACTTACATGGAAATCATTTGTATCAAATATTAAGACTGCCTGTAAGTTTAATTTTCTATAACAGGCTTCTTTGATTTCTTAGCCATACTAGATCAGTATTTATGTTCAATACTTCCATGGAATTTCCTTTTTATGATTATACTGCCGCAACATAGTTAATAACTCTAATATAAGAAATTTACTGAAAATATATCTTGCAAACATCAATTATCCTTTTCTGGAATTATGAGGAAATTTCTTAAAATGATTGACCAAACATGTGGACTCCATTTACTAAGCCCCATTGAATAAACTTATTTCTTTTCTATTCGTGTATCTTAGTTGGAAAACATTATGTTAAAGTAGTCTCTTTCAAAGCATTGAACATATGTGACCATGCCTATATGGATAAGCCCAGCTGGACTTGAGGAGTGTCTTGTGTATTTAAGATAATTACCATGTATGTGTAAGGACATTAACTACAGTTGTATGGGGTTTACTTGAAGCAACCAGGCAACTATAAGGTAATTTATCATATTTAAATTAATGTGAAAGAACCTTTCATGATTTTGATTTAACAAAAAAGAATGAAGTTTAATTTACAAATAGTGTTTAAAAAGGATAGATAATTATATGACAAATATAGCTTATGTCCATGGGAGGAAGCTAAAATTTTCAGACAGAGTTAGAGAGAACAGTGATTTAAAAATTTATTTTGTACTTAATTAAATTTGCTTAAATTTGATACCTGCATTATTCTTATCAAAAACTAAACAGCAATTTAAAAATTTTAAATGTATGTTTGCATATTATGTAAGTAGTGATAAAAGTATTCTTGTAAATAAATTTGTATGGAATATAAAATCCTGAACTCATATTTTAAAAACTACAAATGAATTTTCAAAATTTTTTCTTTCCAGGATTAGATTACATAATTGAGCACAAACAGGATGTCTTCATAGATGGTACTTTTCCTTTTCAATGTAAACTGTGCAATTCTTCAATATCAAGATCTCTTATTATAGATCATATAATAGGAGCTAAACACAGAATGAGATATTTGGTATGCTTTCAAATTATTATTTCTTTTCTTAGTTTCTTTTTATGCCGTACATGTAAGGGCATATAAAATGCTGTCATTTGAAAAATTTATTTGCAAAAATAATATTTTACCATATGTAATAATTCTGCTACATAGTTTTGAGTGAAGCAGCTACAGCTAATTATGAGTTAATTATCTTTCAGAACTTTCTGGTTGACCTAATATATACCAGTGTGTAAAATATTGAATTTTCATCCAGAAAATTCAGTGATAATTTAATTTCAGTGCACTTATAGCTTTGATTCAAAAAATATTTCTTTTTTTGTTTTTAAGTTCCTGCAGTTTGTAATTAATAAATAAACTTCTATTATGATTTTGTATTTAATTCTTAAAGCTGTTAATAAATTAAAGATTTTTAGACTTTATAATGCAATTGCAGTTTATTGAGGAAATAATTTTCTTTTTTGTTCTTGATATTTTGAACCATAATTCATAAATACATTTTAACTTGTAAATTATTGAAATAAATAATTAAAAGCTACTTACTGATGCATGGAATTATATTTTAATGTTTTATGTCATTTTTAAATCTGTAAAAGAGTTTCTTTAATTAAAAATTCTGATCCCTATTCTTTAGGGCCTTATTTTTTTCTAGAGATATAAATTATATCTTGAAACTGAAATATACTTGCTTTTGTTACATTTCTTGTAAACCTTCCTAAATATGTTGTTATATTGTTTTACTCCAAATTTTGCTTGTTATATGCCAAGTTTTAAATTTTAGATCACATTGCCCAAATTTTGTATCAAATATTATTTTTATGGAATAATGAATAAACTTTTTTTTTAACAGAAAGCAACAGATTTATCTTTATATAATTATATTATGTCCTTAAATCTGGACAAAGATTTGAAAGAAAAGGAAATTTCTGAAGCAGCTGCAAAAATGGAGAAAAAACATGGACGAGGCTATGTTTTAGTGGATTGCACCATTAAAAGTAATTATGTTTCCCTTTTTAAACAAAAAACAATGCTTTTTAAACTTTTATTTCAAAATTAATTCGTATTCATTTGGAACTGTAACGTTTTACAACTGGGTATAAAATTAAATGTATTGCATTAAAAAAATAAATAAATAAATAAATACAAGATTTTGAAATAGAAAGATAGCCGGAATTTTGTTAAAGAAATTGATTGTTATTTCATTAATTGCTGTCAAATTCATAAATACATATGCTAGCAAATTCATAAATCTTTGATTATTTTAACTGTCTATATTTTTTTAGGTTTTACTCAGTCTTAGATTTGTTAGGTTTAGGTGTTTACTGTGTTTTTGTTCATTAACCATATTCTTTTTAGCATACATAATTCACCGTCTGAAGTATTTATAAAAATGATGCACAGTTAACTGCTTTTTCATCAAATTTTGAATATGTAATATGCATTATGCAAATTTTATATTAACTTTCTCTGTATACAAAAGTTACAGAACAGTATAAATAGCTTGAAGTGTCTGCAAATTGAGAATGGATTAGTGATAAAAGTTAAGACTTGAAATATTTAAAAGATTAATATTATAATAAAATTAGAAGTAACTTAAATAAAACTTTGTAGGGTCTGTGACACATTTTTGGGGGAGGTGGCAAACCATGCTAGTTCTTAAGGCATTGGTAATGTATTCAGAGATGAAGGAAATAATTAGGGAGGGGGGAGTGTTTTTGCAATATCCCATCCACCATGAAATTACTGCTGAGCAGTGCAATTTAGTACATATTGTGGATAACTGCGATGTAACAACACACTCATGTGCTTTTGTTTGATGATACCCTGATTCTTGATAAGCCACCTTTTGTTTTTATGAACAAGGATATAAATTAACTGATGTTGCAGCATATTTCTCTTTTGGGGGGGAGGTAGGGAAAAAGAGAGATTAGAATTTGGGATATGCCTTCTACAGAATGGCAAGCAGTAGATTATTTTCAAATTGTGCAAACAGAAACGTGTGTGTCTGTATTAATGGACTTGATATAGTCAGCTGAATATGGCTGACAAAACAATAACAAATTAGAACAATTACCTGTGGGAAATTTGTACTCATAGCATTTATAAAGAGACCTTTCAGTAAAACTGGAAGGCCTTACCAACACCGTGTTGAAGAATCAAGGTCAGTGATGTCACGATCGGAAGATGAATGCCAAGCAGCAGAAGTGTCTCCTACAAGCTTAAATTAATACTGCAGCGATGAATCTATAATTTGCTTGTCTTTATAATGTTCTCACTTTTTAAATTAAGATTCTGCCTTGCATCCAGAGCCTAATTTTAAATTTGAGTTTCTGAAACTGTATGAAAAATTGTTCAGAAATCATGAACTGTAATGTATAGTAATTCAACCCCCCCCCCCGGTAATTAAGTGTAGGAGTAATTAAAATATAAAAATAAGTGCTGAATAATAATAAATTTATTGTAATTAATGATAACTATGTACATTCTTTAATTTTCATTATTTTATTCATTTCCATTATGACATATATTTTTTATTCATTTATTTTGGGAAAAGCAATAAAAGAATTTTATCATGAAAACATAAAATGAAACATTAAAAATTTTTAATTCTGTAAATATGTTAAAAAGTTTATTCAAAATTTGGATTTTTAACTGAAGATATTTTAAGGAGTTCCAGAAATTTGTAAAACTATCACTTCAACTGCAAAACGAAACAAATTGAAACCCACACTACAAAGAATTCGTACACGCACAATGAAAAAATAAAATTTTATGTTGGATATAAGCACAAGACATGAAACACGTTCAGAATTACATAAAGATTTTATTTTTTATCATCTCACTTATGCAAATAAATTTATCTTATATTGATTTTAGAATTTCAATAATTTCAACAGACTGGTCCATTAAACATGAAATTAACAATATCTGTCCTTCAACAAGTTTTATATTTCGTGAAATTTTCAGCAAAAATTTATATGTGGAACATGTATTATTATGTATTCATAACAAATGTTTGTATCTATGTATCACATGAAATTCATAGTTTTATTACTTAGTTACTTGAAGCTTGTTAATCCTTCTTGTTTGATTTTTTTTTTTTTTTTTTTTAAATTTGCTGGTTTCATTTTGGAAAAGTTAATCTGTAAAAGAATTTGGTACGTTTACTAATGACCTAGAGTAGAATATTAAACTACAGTCAAACAGTTGAAAACCATCACTGACTGTTAGATATCAGTTATTGTTACAATATAGTTAAAAAATTTTAAAGAAAGAAAATTCATCTGAATATGAATCATTCTTTTTAAAAGCATAATTAGAGATTGTTCAGCCACTTTTAATCTTTACTTTTCAGAATTGTTCCATCATTTAGACATATGTTTATGAGTGCATTATGCTGAAGATATTAAAAAATTGTTTGGATTTGTTCAAATATTTTGCAAAAAATAAATTGTTGCAAAAGAAATGATGCAATAAGAAAGGACCCGAAGAAGTGGAAACTTTTAGTGCTTAAAAACGTGAGCATGTTGTTGGCAGTTGTTGGTTACATAATACTATCTTTGGTAAACTGGTTTAAATTGATTTAAACACATTATTATAATGGATATAAATTTAATGTTTTATTATATTTGATATATTTCTTTCTTTGTTCATTTTTGTTTCTTGAAAATTTGTTTTATTTGTTGATTAGTTTTAAATTCATTAAAAGATTTTATTTCTTGCGAAAGTTTTCTTTTTTTTTTCTTTTTTTACTTCCTTGTACAAAGTAAAAAGGAAGTATTGTAAACGCGAAAAGTTTCAGGCAGCATATTTCAATGAAAATATCCATTTTGACCGCTATCGAATGCAATTTAACGATGTTTTTGCATGATATCTGTACGTAAGAACCGAATAAAATACTCTTTTTCTTCAAAAAAACTATAAAACTGTTTTAAAATTAATTCTGAAGAGAATTTTTCGTGGCGTCTGTATGAACGTATGTACGTACGTATCTCGCATAACTCAAAAACGAGTAGCCCTCAGAACGTGAAATTTGTATATAGGACTGCTATAACATGTAGATGTGCACCTCGTATTTTGGTTGCAATCGGTCGCACCAAACGTATATAAATATATTTATATATATATCCACTCTGTTACCCGGCTCAGTAATCTCAGTTTCTTTACTCTTATATGTTGGTAAATTGTACATTTTTTGCTTTAAAAATGATTGAATTATGTTGTTTATATTTTCCGGTTAAGGATTTTATGCCTTTAGTAAATCTGTGTGCAATATTTTTAGAATTATCAGCAATTTTAAAGTTGTTTAATTGCAGCTAAGCCTTTTTTAATGGCGGCCATTGATGTTTACATTTGAAAGAGGAGACTAGTGGATTTGTTGCCAATCTAGAGAAACTTAGCTTCCCAACAACAAAGATAATGCTTCATTTATTATTGCCATTAAATCATGCTTGATTCTTTCTGGAATTTTTCGAAGAAATAATGTTTTGAGATTTACTTCGTAATTTTTAATATAGATATTTTGAGTTTTTATGTATTTTTGCCTTCTCCGCGAAGTGAGAACTGATTAATTAAATGAGAAATACTCAATCGTCTGTGAAAAACTGTTTCTTTTTTTTTTAGTTTGTTGCTTAATTTCTTTTATACATCATTCTAGCTTTATTATAGTATTTGAATAGAACATGTGCAACGATTAGATAATTCTTTTCTTTAAATGATTAAATTTTTGCATTGTGAGTTATAATATGAAGGA